TTTTATTTTTGGGTACTAATTATTCAATCAAATGAAATTTTAAATTAATCAAAGTAAAAGGGTACTCCAACCTTACAAATATCAAATGTCTACACTTCTTCAAATTGAGGAATACAAAGCCAACCATAATAGGAGACTAGAATAATTAAAGTTGGCTCCAAACGAATTATTGCTTGAGTTCTGACTAGTTACATCCGAGCATGAAGCGCTAATGTTCAATATTTCAACGACAGAATCATTACTTTTAGTTTTTAGTATAACCTTCGTCATGAAGGCGAATCAAGGTTCTATTTTGTATGGTTGTTATTTTGAATTTTTAGTTTTTGTTTTTAAAATTTAAATAATCAAAATTAATAATTAAAAATAAAAAATAAAAATAAAAATTGTAAACCTATTGGATGTAAAATTTTAAAACAAATATTCAAAACTCTAAATTTAATTAATTTATAAAATAACTTAATTTTATTCTAAAATTTTTAAATTTTTAAAAATTAAAACTAAAAACTTAAAATTACAACTATACTAACGGAGCCTAAGTTATCAACTCTAAAGTTGCTCGATTCAGTGGCGTATAGCCAAGATCTCAAATTATGAGGATAGGGAGTATAAAAGGGTTCGAAATAGAACATGATAAGAATTGGTTAAAGGAGAATTAACATATATTTTCATGTGGTTTTATGAACTAAATCAAGTTTGGTAGCTGAATTTTAATGATACAAACCCTTTTCCCAAAGTACAAAGTTGGTTTCTTTTACATTAAGGGTTTGTTTGATTTGCCTTTTTTTTTTTTTTTTCGAAAATTATTTCTCCCCCGTTATGATGTTTGGATGGTGCGGCCTCTTTTGAGCACTTTAAACCACTTCACAGCTCAAGATCATTTGAAATCAAATTAAGCAAGGGAATATTATGAGAACTATTAAAGAACAAATTAATTGAATTTCAGATTCCATCCAAAATGAACTCAATGACTTCTCAACCACCTTTACCATCAAATGTGAGGATTTCAGTGTCAAGCAAACAAAGAGAAGAAAAATAAATAAATAAATAAAGCACCTTCACATGATAAACATAAAATCAACCACAAAAAATTAAATGAAGTTTGATTCAATTCTTAAATTCCCATATTTTATCCAAGCGCGCAAATTAAATTCAATGAATTAATGGCTGACAAACAAACTAATCCCATGCAAATCAAACGATTAAGAAAAGGGAAATTGATTAAGATATAATTTTTTAATAAATATATTATATAATATATTAAATTAAAAACTGTATTAATTAATGTTCTGATTAATAAAATCAGAAGTGAGGAAAAATCCGAACTTCTAAAAATGAAGAGATAGGAGAAGAAAAAACTTCTCAGATGAAAGAATACAAGCAAATCAAGGATCTTTGACCCAATTGGTATTTATTAATTTAAAATTTTTAGTTTGGAATTAAAATCAAATGTTTAGATTTTTATGTTGTCAAATAACTAATACTTTGATGTAAAGAAAAAAGAAAAAATAATCAAGGTCAAAAAGAAAATTAATCACCAGAAAACAGCACCCCTATTTGAATCAGTCTAACTACTTTCATTTTAAAAAGACATGGCTTAATCCCGTACGTATATTTGTTGACGAACTTGCCCGCCTTCTTTTACGATCGAGTAGGGCTCACTCTCCCGGCCTGCCCCTCGCAAGAGTGGGTTCCCGGCCTTGTCATTGTGGTTCTGCCGGCCGGGTGTCCTCCTTGGCGCTTGACACCGATCACCCTCCAGGCATACCCACCTTCACCCTCCCGTTCCCACAACCGTGAACCTCTAAATCTCATAACCCTAAAAACCAAAATCAAACAAAATCTTCTCCCGAAAACCTCACCCTCCGATCCGCCACCACCAAATGTCGCCCCAAAACCCAACCGATTACTTCAATCAACCCACCTTAACTTCCATCTTTCTCACCGTTTCCCATCTAACACCTTTCACCACCAGATCTCAGCCCTCAAATTTGTTTGTGCAATTCCGAAACCCAAACCCACTTTGTATAACCCCATGGCTGATTCAGAAGAGAGAAGCCCCCGATTTTGCAGAGACGTTGGATCACGGCCAAGGGCCTGATCCCTTCTGGCCTGTTCAAATTTTAGCTTTTCTGAGTTTTTCTTGGATCTAGGTTTTACTTCCTTGGTTTTTGTGGAGAATTCCCAAAGAATCAAATGGGTGTTTGAGGGCTTTTGAGTTCTACTGTCTAATTGAGCGTGTTTGGAGTTTGGAATTTCTTTTTTGGCTTCCTCATACCTTAAAACAGATGGGAGATGCCAAGCTTCAAGGTGGTCAATTTGCTTCAACCACTTACTACTCTCCAATGTGTTATACCAATACAGATACGAGAAGTGCGCAGTTATGGAACTAATCCCTCAAGTTTCTCATCTTGCCCACAGATTTGTCTCCACTTGGATGGCTTCCCTGTCTCGATACCTTTCCATCTCAGACACTAGACAAGTTTCTCATTTTGCCCACAGACTTACATGGAGTCGGGCTTATTGGCCGGTTCCTTACTCCTTTCGCCTGTCTTTCACCGCTCTATGTTTCGTCTTGGGAGTTCCACCGTCTGTATATATTTATGTTCTTTCAGTTCTGTTATTTGGTTTACTTTGTTTCTTGGACTATCTTTTGTTAGTATTTCTTAGTAATATAAGCACCTTTCCCGTTTGGCTAAAGAAAGAAAAGGGAAGTTGTTTAGAATTATCACCACTCATTGCGATGGAATAGAAGTACTTCATGCACCAGCCATCAGGGAAGAAAAAACAATAAAAACACAAATTCATTACTTGTTATATGATCTGCAACAAGACAAGCCGTGGGAATTAAAACATGGGATAAGAACAACAGGAGTGTCGAGGCCGCCTACTAGCTAGAACACCACTTATTAAAAACCATGCATGCATAACTGATAGCATACAGACACAGGACTACAGATAAATAGTAGGCTTCCGATCATCAGCGCTCACCTGCTTCCGCACCAGTAAAGTTTCCACCGCCTTGGGCTGCCTTCTCATGGCGGATAGAGTAGCGTACGGAACGGCCGAGTACCGCACCAAATACTGCAACTTCCTTTTCCTCCTTGAAGATGGTAATTCTATCGCCTTCTACCAAGCCTTTAGCTTGAATGTAAGTTTTCAAGCCAGCAATAGCTTCTTTAGGATAATCTCCCCTCATTCTTCTCTTGGCTTTGAGCGTGTACATCTCTCCAAGTTCGTCGATGACCTTAAACTCCACGCTACCGCAACCTTGTGGAAATTTGAAATGATTTCTGACTTCTTTAGAGGCGCTGATCTCACCCTTGTTAATGGCAGTAAGATTTATTTGTGCTGAGATGACGATGATAATTGCCATCTTGCTAATTAATTAACGCCTTGGCTGCTGTGATATTGTGAACCTTGCTGCTGAGAATGCTGTGAATTGCTGCTGCATACATAGAGGCGAGGAGGCAGTGGCAGATAATCCAACAGCCAACGTCGTCCTCGTACCTATGGATGGGTGGTTGGTAGTGTGGGGCATGGTGTCATGTAATTGTACAGTACTCTTGGGCATTCTGTCCCTTTCGCATTTATGCAATTGATTCAAAGTGAATTGAAATAAATAAAAAATAAAAAGACAATAATTTTAATTAACGTCGTTCTCATGATAAGAGTGGATCCTAAACGACAATTTGTCGTTCTCATGATAAGAAATGCAAACAGGCACCTTATACAAAGGATACCTGTCCAGCATTTCTATTTAGAATTAGAGGGGTATACCTACATATAGTTAAACCAGGAACTAGGATTTTTATAATAACCGCCCCAACCAAGAGTTCTACGTCGAGTTCAACTGATGTGGGACTCTTGAAACGAGTTGTAAGGATTAACACGTCTAATTAAAGTGGATGCATTTTGAAAACTATGAGTCTCAATGAGCTAAAACAGATAATATCCATAGCAGATTTGTGCCTTGTTACAATTGTGATTTTGCATATCTAGTATATATGACATTGAACTAAACAACTATGTGTGTATCTTAAAGAATATCAAAGAAAAGAGAGTGCAGTACCTATATATATTGAAAATAGACAATGGAATCAAAACATTAATCATTTATACTAGTAGTAGTAGTATGCAAGTCATTCATGAATCAGCAGCAAATTAAGTCGGTTTCAAAAATTTCAAGGGAAGCATTTCAAAAGTGGAAGAAGATTAATTAATTAAAGATTCATGAGAAAATTTAGGGACGACCAATTTTTTTTTTTTTTATTGTTCCTAACTGTAGTTTTTAGAGAATCATATATGACCCAGTTGCAAATTTAAGGGAGAAGCTTACGTCTCAGTTTTTTTTTTTTTAGTAGTATTAAAACAAATTGGGCCCTTATTCGTGTCCCCTCTAGAGTCCTGTAGGGACGGCTACCAGCCCCCACCCAACTACCACTATTGGAGTACTGACATAATTTCTAAATCTGATCCCCTCTTTTTTGGTTGTTACTGAGACACATGAAGATGAAGGATTGCTATTCAAAGAGAGGTATCTTTCAAAAATCTCCATTAGTCAACGTCTCCACTAATATATTAAAATGCTTTTTGTTGGAATATAAAAATCTAGAGGATATGATTAAGGGGATGAGAAGAAGATTGACAAATATATGAATATTGCCAATTAAGACGGCGACAAAGAGTGAACGACTAAATTAAGCGTTCTTGTAGTAATTTTTTTTATAGAAGACATAAAGAAATTTTATATTCAAATTATAGATGTACCAGTAAAATGGATAAAGAGACGAGGGAGGATGTCTTTTATTGTTAAAGCAGATGGCCATAAAGAAACAAGGACATTTTCAAAAAAGAATAAATAAATAAAGAAACAAAGACAAATTTTGTTTGAGGACACTATCAGTCATTTACATATCACATGGACCGTTTCTTTTTTTTTTTTTTTTTTTTTGGTACATGGACCGT